TTGCAACAAAGGAGAACTACCATTTACTCTTATCTGTACACTTTCAGCTGTTCAATATGAATATTGATTATCCCATCGTCAGTGTGCACAATTTTTCAGACAGTATGGATTAGTTAGTTGTAGTTCCCGAGGTTCCGTTTCTCTTATGTAGATGTTATGGATTTATACGTTTGTCAAACTTATCTCTAGTTTACTCAGGTCTGAATAATTCAATCAATGTCATGTCATTTCATTTCGATCAAAGTGGTTCATAAGCGACATGTATGTAATTTTGTGTGTATGTATGCATTGTTAAGGATGAAAAATGTGTAACCTTTATAATGACAAAGGATAGAGTTTAATTTGTAATACAATGGTGTGGATTTGTAAATAATATCAGACTAGGTGACTAGGATAGATAGTCCAAGTAGGTGTATGGTAAGCCTTCCTTTCCTGTGAGAGCAGTGGGATTAAGCATTACATGGAAAGTTTCAGCTACTCTCCTTTCTTTGTGATTGGAAAAAAAGATGAAAGTAATTGATAACCCTTGAAGATGATATGGATTTATACGTTTGTCAAACTTATCTCTAGATTACTCATTAAGTAAATGGCATTATCAAGTTTCATGTCCATTGGATGCACAGAAAACTAGAAATTACTATGCGCTAACTTGTTCATGTACGTTTATTGTAACTATTATTTTGTTTCAGGAGTATTGCCATTCGTTGGTGATTATTTGTACCCTAATTTTTCAATCAGTGAATAAACCATTCTGGGTTGATCGTAGTTTAAATATGTTATGAGATAGTATGAAACATCGGATTCGTTATTAGAATTATGTTACGTAGTGAATGTGTTACATATAGCATACATTTTATCTTTAGTTCCACGGTGCAAATAACAAATGGTTTCTTCTTTTAAAAGGATAGACAATGGTAAATGATGCTTCTAATATTCAGAAATATGGACTTCTACTCACAATGAAGTTTTTTCTTTTTTCATCCTCTCTATTTTTTCCTCTTCTATGCGTCAAGTCCTGGATAAAAGGCATACAAACAAAGATAAAGCAAATGAAGTATTATAACACTGAATAAATAGACGGTGTCGAGTTATTAATATTTAATGCATTTTTACTCATATCAAACTACACCTAAAAATGATATGGAGTTTGAATAGAGAAAATTATGACAGATACTAAGCAGCAAGTTCATTTCTTTTGATAATTTCCATACTTATTATCTACTGGTTTTGAGAATTCGTTTATTTCAGAGGGGGTTTTGTGGAGAATTTAGTATTTTCACAGTTGAAATCATGAGTCAATTGAAGCTAGACCACCATCGAAAACCTGTAAGCACTGGACGGCCGTTTTGTCCTATTATGGGACTCCTCAGCAGTGCGCATCCACGAGCCCGCTTTCGCGAGCGAGATTCGAACCCAGGACCTACCAGTCTCGAGCCGAAGCCCTTAACCGATAGACCACTGAGCTGGCATCCAATGGTGTTAATGTCTAACTTCAACCAATCCACGATATTGAGCGACCGTTCACCAATTGTCCTCAGTGAGATGATATCTCATTTGATGATATCTCAATTGAAGCTAGACCACCATCGAAAACCTGGAAGCACTGACTCATGATTTCAACTGTGAAAATACTAAATTCTCCACAAAACCCCCTCTGATCTATAATCATATGCTCACTAGTGACTGACTTCAAGAGATATTTCCTTGAGTTCTAGTGGGAAGCAGTGGCCAGTGGAGTTCTACCAGGTCTGTTGTAGAGATATCATCATTTATTTGTCAAAATTTACGAAATGGGTGTTCCTTCAAGTAAATGTGATTTCTGTTACAAAATAGAGCAAAACTCTATATGTTAAATTTCCTAAAATCTAAACTGCCACGATAAATTTTGACCCGATGAATGGACTCGATATCTAGAGAAATGTCTTCGAGAAAAAGATCAAACTCTTTACATTAGGAAGATCACATGACCGTTACTAAATAGTTAGATACGTTGTAGCGCGAAAACGTGGAGCATCACATGTTTGCGGCATATCTGAACAAATAAAAGATAGTTGCACTGAAAATAAATCCTGTAGCTTGTCAATAAGTCAGGTTTATCATTATCTGTAGTTTTAAAACCGTCATAGATCAGTAAATGGATATACCTTAGAGTGTGTGTGACATGATGTCATCTAAACGAAGACTATTCGAGAATAGAAGGATGCTATGAACTGAGGAAGTGAAGGTAATTTATAAACCTTTTTAGTCACAATGTAGTTTAATTGTTACGACTACAAATACAAGAGCCATGACTCTATAGTTAATAAAATAACGTTGTTCACAGTATGCTTACTGCAGACAAAAGTAGATAGTGTAAATACAAAAAGTTATAAAGTTGAAGATAATTGTGTGTAACATTAATTGGGTTTCAAACGTGAGTTTAGCGCACAGTAACATCAAACTTATTTGTCCAGTTTCTCAACATAGAATTTGTGAAATATGGTTCATGTAGATGAATACACTTCATGTTATTCTGAAAATAAGTGTTCTTCACTCATAAAAGACCTTTTATAGTCAGAAGGTAGTATGTATGACAATTTATGTGTTTTTGAAAAAAATAGTTAATTACTTACCATTTCGGACTATTAGGAATTAAACAATCACTTTTTATTAACATACTCATTTTCAACTTATCAATTTCGGTGTAAATGTTATGCAATCACAAAACAAATATCAATAGTTGAGATCATGAGTCAATTGAAGTTAGACCACCATGGAAAATCTGGATGCCGGTTCAGTGGTCTAGAGGTTAAGCGCTCGCGCGCGAGACTTATAGGTCCTAAGTTCGAATATCACGTAACGGGATCGTGGATGCGAACAGTTCAGCAGTCCCACAATAGGACGAAATGGCCGTCCAGTGCTTTCACGTTTTTTATGGTGCTCTAGCTTCAATTGACTCATGATCTCAGTTATTGAAATTACTATAATATCTACAAAAGCCCCTTCTGATATTAATCAACAAAACAAATTATTGAACAAAGCTAAACACATAAATCTGTATTCATAAAATTAAACTTGTAAAGAATGAGTTGTGTGAGAATAAATTCTTCATGATGTTTCCATTAAAAATTTACATTTTTTTTATCAAATGTATTACAAAAATCTTTCAGTTCATTGGAAATTTACTTGATAAAACCTTCAATAGGCAGTCATAGGGATTGTAAGACAGCATTTAAAAAGAACTTTTATACTTACTGATCCGAACTAATTTAAGCACAAAAACAACGAATAAGGCAATATTGATTTCAGATTCTCAAGTGCTAAACATGAATCTAGTTACTGTAAGGGTTTTTTATTACAATTCATTAAACAATCAGTTTTGAATATTTCTTTTAAATATACTATCACTTTGATATACTCAAAAAGACTTTATGTTATTATCGAATACATTCAAGAAAAAGGTGATGCGGCTAAAAATTCTAACTTATACACTAATACACTTCTTGAATTATATAATACTATTCCAGATGGACAATTGTGAATAAACAAATGATTGCATTGACGATGTCAGCATCAGTAGCAATTATATTATTCACTTTATGACTTCATTTTGTGAGATAATGAACGCCTTACAAAATGCGACAAAGCTTGTTTATTTGAACGAAACAGTTCATACTTATTAAGGATATTCGTTAAAATTCAAGAAATACTTGGGAATAACTAACAATAATAATGTGACTATTTTCGCATTGTTAAACACTAAATCACAAATATATTTTAGTAAAAAATAAAACTTACATGTCCACTTTTCACTGTTTATTTGGAACGAAATAAAGAAAATTTCTTGTTGACCTTAAATCGAGGTGTACGGGACAAACTGTGAAACACATGTGGAGAAATTCAAACGCTTCACATCTACCCGAAGTTTGTGCTGATGATCTCGTTGAGAAGAACGATGAAAGCTCCACTACCAAACCATCCACCTCAGAGAACAAAACTCCATCAAAAATATATTATCTATACAACAGTATTTATTAGTTATTTATATCAAACAGAGGATCAATCAAAACGATTATCTTGTCTCATCGTCGAAAATTCAGTGAATCTATAAAAGTGTTGACTGAAAAGTATCCTTAAATTCATAAAATTAAATCAAGGTGATATAGGCTTCTCTAAAGACTTATAACCACAATATTTTTGATGTGAATTAGAGACGAAAAGAGTCAATCATTCGACAGATATTTCTACTACAACGAGGTCAAACAAGTCTATAACATATAACTGAATTAAGCATCAGTACCCAGTCAGAAACAGTTAAACTACGATTATTTGATGGACTAAATCAACGAACTATCAAAACCATAATTAAAACATAAATTGTGGAATTTTCGCTTAAAACTAAATCACTTTCTGTTCCATGGCAAATTGACTGAAACAAGTTTTTTGAGAAATTGATAGAATATTTGAAAATTTGAAAAATTCCCATATTGTGATTTAGAACAACATATATAAGCGAACAATATTGTTTTCGATTAGATCCTCATCAGGCTTTACTCTAATATACAGTAATATTTATATGCATATACGAAATTATTAAACCAATCAAGGCAGTTTATGAGTCAATGATAACTGTGGAATAGATTACATAATCAAAATTAATAATAAGTGAAAAGTACAAATTGATAGTGTAATGACAGGTGTACTAGTTGTGATAAGAATAATAAAAGGCTTGAATCTATGTTACATAATAGGGAAATAGGTCAATGATTAGAAAAATATAGACACTGAAATAACAATCATAGAAATTATAAGATTACGTAATAAGAAGTGTTCAGATAATTGGAAGCGAAAATTAGAAAAATTATAAGTAAATAATTGATAGGGGGGTTAAGAAAAAATAAACTAAGAAAGTGTATGGAAAATAAATTTATTTATTAAGGCCAAGGGAGAGATAAGGGTGTTACAAATTTCTTATGAACACAAAGACTTGGGTTGTTGGATCGAATTCCTATAGCTTCTGCTATGTGTAGGAGACGAGATCGAACCCATAAGGAAAAATAGTAGGAATACGATAAATAACTTTAAAAGACTGGTTTCTGTCAACTTCATGACCGCTATCAATCAAGTGTGAAAGAATCGAGCTCCGTATCGACTTGACCATACCTTTTCCTAACCACGAAGGGAGGTGTTCACTAACTCTTTGGTTCAATTGTCTGGTAGTGCGCCCAATATAGCTTTCTCCAGAATATTTAAATATGAAAATCACAAAAATGAGACGATTACATAATTTTCAGATAAACAAATGTGGTATATCCAGTAATTAAAAAGAAATATAGTAAGTTTACATTCAAAATAATGTTGCTCTGGTCACTGGAAATTATTATTTAACATAAGCAGTAGATAAAACAAACAATACTTACCAGTTGGCATTATTACTGAGCAAACAGCAAACAAGCATAGCAACCAGAAAACACAATGCATTATTGGAATTTATAGCAAAATGGTTTATATTGAAAATGCAACAGATCTTATATACTATTTTCCGTACAGTGAAAACGAAATCCTGGTGTAAATACCAGTCACATTTGACGAATTTAAATTATTAATCGCAAATAAATTGCTGGCATCAATCATTTTTAAAATGTGTGAATTCAGATGAAAAACAAATTTTGATAGCTACGTTGTTGTTAACAATTAACTCATCAATCATGCCATAATCCATAACTCGTGATGCAGCAATCATTCAAGTTGATAATTTTGATTGTCATCTAGTTAGAAATATGACTTACTTACTTGTTCATCAACGATGCTTCCCAGGTACGTGAATGTTTCCACCTCTTCCAGAGTTTCTCCATCAAGTGTGGTTAGCTTGGCATTCTCCTTGTTGTATTTGAGAATTTTGCTTTTCACTTTGTGTATGTTGAGGCCTATTGATGCAGAGACTGTCGCTACATTTGCTGTCTTCATCTGTATTTGATCGTGTGTATGAGATAGGAGGGCTAGGTCATCTACGAAATCCAGATCGTCTCATTGTATTCCGTGCTTCCCCTCAGATGTCGAAGTCTTCATAATCCAGTCAATCACCAGAAGAAAGAGGAAAGGTGAGAGTAGACAGCATTGTTTGACTTCGGTGGTTACTGGAAATGCATCTGTCAGCTGTCCTCCATGCACGACTTTGCACTGTAGTCCGTCGTATGAGTTCCGGATAATATTGAAAATCTTCTGAGGAACTCCATAGTGTCGAAGAAATTTCCATAATGTTCTCTTGCCCACACTATCAAACGCCTTCTCATAATCGATGAAGTTGATGTATAGAGACGAATTCCACTCAACTGATTGTTCCATGATGACCTGTGGTGTCGCAATTTGATCCAGCCTGTTGATCTCGATATTGGACGTCTTCTGCGTCCTTCATCCGGTTCAGCAACACTCTGTTGAAAACTTTTCCTGGTACTGACAACAAACTGATGCCTCTGTAATTCTCACATTTGTTCAGATCTCCTTTATTTGATATCTTGATAAGATATCCTTTTTCCAGTCCGTTGGCACTTGTTCCCCTTCTCAAATCGATGGGAAGATTCAAACAAGCAATACTAAATGAATTTAGCTGAACTTAGTCTTTGAACAAAAGAGGATTTCCAACAGACAATGATGCGCACTGCTGAGGAGTCCCATAATAGGACGAAACGGCCGTCCAGTGCTTCCAGGTTTTCGATGGTGGTCTAGCTTCAATTGACTCATGATTTCAACTGTGAAAATACTAAATTCTCCACAAAACCCCCTCTGATCTATAATCATATGCTCACTAGTGACTGACTTCAAGAGATATTTCCTTGAGTTCTAGTGGGAAGCAGTGGCCAGTGGAGTTCTACCAGGTCTGTTGTAGAGATATCATCTCACTGAAGACAATTGAACGGTCGCTCAATATCGTGGATTGGTTGAAGTTAGACATTAACACCGTTGGATGCCAGCTCAGTGGTCTATCGGTTAAGGGCTTCGGCTCGAGACTGGTAGGTCCTGGGTTCGAATATCGCTCGCGAAAGCGGGTTCGTGGGTGCGCACTGCTGAGGAGTCCCATAATAGGACAAAACGGCCGTCCAGTGCTTACAGGTTTTCGATGGTGGTCTAGCTTCAATTGACTCATGATTTCAACTGTGAGAAAGCAAATATAGTCTAATCTAATCCGCTTTACAGAATAGTGTAGACTTATGAATAAACAATGGAGAGAAAGAAGAGAAATTAGCCGTTCATGTAGAAGAAGGAGAAATATCAAATTCTAATTGTTTACTGAATGATTTATTATTACAATTAGATATTCTTTATTACAAACAAAATCTCTAACCGATAACGTAGATTGACTGGTCTGATTGTATGTGAAAAGAACAATTCCGATTTGTTTTCGTTATCGTGGTGTAGTTTATATTTAAGTGGAACATAATTTAATCCGACTACCTCGCGATTATAAACGTTGAGTGTTTACGATTGTATGTTCAAAATAATTCAGTGAGATATCTAGTCTTCTTATAAGATTATGATACAAACTTACTGATTCGTGCTACATAGAAACTAATGTTTTAAAATGAATATTGTACATCATTTTCAAACACAGATTATGTGCCATTCTCAACACACATGCATCGATTTTGTTTACTGCAAGATTAAGTCTTTTTTATACTTCACATGATGCCTCTGTTATTCTCACATTTGCTCAGATCTCCTTTCTTTGGTATCTTGATGAGCTATCCTTTTTCCAGTCCGCTGGCACTTGTTCCTCTTTTCAAATCTTCTTGAATAGAAGGTGAAGCATGTTTGCTGTTACTTCAATGTCTGACTTCAGTGCTTCAGTTTGTATATTGTCAGGTCCTGCCGCTTTCCCACTTTTGATTTGTTTGATCGCCATCTTGACTTCTTCGATCGTTGGTGGAGTGACATCTATGGGAAGGTCAGTGTGTGCTGCTTACGATATCCGGTGGATTCAATGGCGCTGGTCTATTCAGCAGTTCCTCGAAGTATTCTGCCCATCTTTTCCTCTATTCTTGAATCTCAGTGATTGTCTTTCCTTCTTCGTCTTTGACTGGCCTCTCCGGTCTACTATATCTCCCTGACAATTTCTTCGTTGTATCATATGGTTGTTTCATATTCCCTTCCCTTGCAGCTTTTTCCGTCGTCGTTGTTATTTAGCCCATGTATTTCTGCTTATCGGCATAAATGCTCTTCTTCACTTCCTTGTTTGCTTCTGAGTACTCTGTTTGTGCTTTAACTTTCTCTGCTCGTGTTCGACTGTTGTTAATTTCTATTATCTTGGTCTTCCTTTCTTTAAACTTTTCCAGGGTTCCCATAGAGATCCATTCTCTATGATGATGATTCATGAGAACCAGAACCTCATGACTCGTTGAAGTTAATGTTTCTTTGATCCCTTTCCAGTTGTCCTCCAAAGTAGTTTCTTGTTCTTTCAGTAGATCCTGTAGACCCTGGAACCTGTTGTTGAGAGTTATCTTGAATTCATGGATCTTGTCAGTATCTCGAAGGAAGGCTGTATTGAACCTTTGTAGTGCTGTTTGTCCAGTTTTCCAGTGTTTCTTCAGCTTCAGTCTCATCTTGGCCACAACCAGGTGGTGATCAGAAGCTATGAAAGCTCCTCTCCCGGTTCTCACATCTTCCATTGATCCTCGGAATTTTTTATTGATACAGATGTGATCTATCTGGTTCTCTGTGGTGTGGTCCGGTGAGATCCATTTAGCTTTATGCATGAGCTTGTGTGAGAATATTTTGCCGCCTATAACCAATTTGTTGAATGCACATAGATTTGCAATTTTCTATTTTCATTTCTCTCTCCCAGTCAGTCCATATCGTCTCATTATATCTTCATATCCTGTGTTGTTCACCTCGACTTTAGCGTTTAGATCTCCCATCAGAATGGTGAGGTCCTTTCTTGAGCACTTCACTATTGTTGATTGCAATTCCTCATAGAAATGATCTTTAATGTCGCAGTTGTTAACATTGATGGGTGCATAACTTTGAACAATATTCATTGTAATGCCCCCTTTCTTTGTTTTGAATGATGCTTTGATTATCTTGGACCTATGAAATTCTCATCCTACATGTGCATTTCATGCTTCACTGGACAGCATTAGAGCAACTCTCAATTGAATGGAACTCGTCACTAAACATCAGCTTGTTTGTCTATGAGAGCGTTTGAAATTTTGAACAGAAGAACATAATTAGATCTAATTCTACACTGTGGTGTGCTTGCGAAAGTTGTCACAATCGTACGAAATTCTAACGAACAACTACACTGCGGTGTCTTACATAAAGGGCAGCTGACAGATGCGTTCCCAGTGAAGATCCGTATGAGACAAGGATGCTCACACTCTCTCTTTCTCCTTATTCTGGTGGTCAACTGGATTATGTAGACAATGACTTCTGAGAGGAAGCACGGAATACGACGGACAGATTGGAAGCAACAAGACGATTTTGGTTTCACAAATGATCTAATTATTCGATTCCGTACACATCAACAAAGACAGTTAGTGTAGTAGAAGACTCTGTGGTGAGGCGATTATTCATGGACGAAACAATCAGAAGCGTTTGTGAGATTTTAAGGTCACGGCGCCAAATTTAGTACCTGATGCTCATGTACGATAGGTTCACAGAGGATTTTAGGGAAGACTTGACGATTGAGAGGCTACAATGAATGGGACTACTAATAAGTTTCTTTATTTGTAATTGTGGTAATCAAAAGACTTGTAAACCTTGTGCAGACTACCGTGATGATGTTATCTTGCGATATAATGTATTTTGGAGGAAGAAGTCTGCTAGAAAAGGAACTTTATTCGCTCGGTCCAGATTGAGATTGAGGCAAATTATAATAATTGCTGCAAACTGTATAAAAGGAGCACCAGTAACACTGGCTGCAATATTCGCAGATGGTACTGAAGCTTCGGCTATTCAGTGGTATGGGTATTGTAGAGATAAATGCTTGGTAAAATTGACAAGGTTGCACAACCGAAGTACACACAAACAATATTGAAGCTATATGGTTGAGGCTAAAAGAGTTTTTGCGACCTTATCATGGAGCCATATGAATGAGTTCCTCTACCGTATGCAATACGATTTTTAAACCATCGAACCTTTTTCCAACCTTGACAAGTTTACGGACCATGTAAAAGGAGTTAATCCACTTTAATTCTTTGGTTTTGTATAATATATTTTACTCTGTTTCCTAATTGGTAAG